TGTTTGGGAAGCTCATGGAATACAGAAGATACTGTAGGCAGTCTGACAATCCAGAACCATTTCAACAGGCACAGATACACACAGCTGGCTAAAACTTCAGATACTATTACCAAAATAGCACTTGAACAAGAGTTAAGCATGTCAAAGCCTTTAGAAACGCAGAAACTGAACACAAATTATTCTCCAGATCTAATTCCTTGACTAAAAGCCAATTTATCTTTTAAAATGAATATTATGTGACAGAGCTTGCCATTTTCCTTACTGTAGGATTAAGCTGTAATGAAGCACAGCTGCAAAAGTAGTGGATATAGATGCCAGAAAGACAGCAAAACAAAAGTATCTTCTACTCACACATTAAAAAGGCCCTTTATTTCAGGAATCAATACAGATAATATTTTCTACTTGAAATAACTTCCCTCAAGCAATCATAGCATATCATTGTTTAACTGAGCTAAACAATTTGCATTTTCCTCCCTTCCTATGCTCTCACAGGAAACTATACCATTACTTTGTATTATTAATGCAAATGAGTAGGTGGAATACAAAAGAAGTTTCTTCCCCAACTCCAAATTCAAAAGGCCATTTGCTCTTCAAAAGACTCTAGACTTGGATGTCACTCTCATGTAATAACATGCTTTCCCATTTTCAAAAAATTTTACCCTTGGATTTTCTGATCCGTTATGTGAAAATAGTTACTATTTTGTTTTGAAAGGAAGCCAAGGTAATAATTAAAAAAAAAAAAAAGATATGAATGTAAAATTGATCAATTCCATAGATTGCTACTTTTCCTCCCTCAAATAATGTAGTCATTACTGATCAGTTTTGATTAGATGGCTAATGCAGATCCACAAACTGTATGGCATTTTAATATTTTTTAAGGGTTGTTGGTTTTTCAAAGGGGGTGTGGTTTTGTTTTTTTTTTAAGAGGGTATCAGAAATGCTACGCTATGTGGTAGTACAGGGTCTCAGCAGCTCATGAACCACTGAAGGAGGCATAGGAAGAACAAGAAGAAAAAAAAAACCCTAAAGCAAAATGAGAAAACTCAAACACTGCTCAGCATGAAGCAACAATATAAGGATCAGCTTAAAAATGTGCACAGTTCTCCAAAGAAACAGCTTCTATTTTTCACATCTTCAGACATCCTAGATATTACAAACAGAAGTATAAGCTCAGCAGAAGACTCATGGAAGAATAAAGAGGATCTTTAGTAACTGGCACATACTCTTGTCTCAGCAATACTGCCTTTCAGGAGCTATCGTATAGAAAAGAGTGAGCTGGACCTTGAAGCCAACATGACACTTTCCTGTGGAACCATTCCCAGATCTTACTGCTTGCTACCAAAGTAATTTTAAACAGACCTACATGTTCTACTGATAGAAGCACCCATAAGACTGCTTTACCTATTTATTTGCATTACTGCAACAAAGTGAGACATGGAGCCACAGTACCTGGTTCAAAACCTGGCCTGAAGGGTAAGTCCAAATTTACAACCCTTTTAATTTGCAAACTTGAAATGAATTAGCAAAAACAGTTTTTAAAGTTTAATTTCCTTGAAAAAAAAAAAAAACCCACTCTATTTTTAAGAAAATATTTAAGCAGTTTAATAAAAATTCAGTAAACTTCATTACAAAACTGACATAATACAAAAAACCTCCCCAGAGTATACCCAGTTCTAATTCAGTCTGTAGATGGCCTGTAAATGTTTTAAGTGCAACAACTGAAAGTTACACAAAATAGATAGAAACATAGCTTTTTTTTTTTTTTTTTAGACAAATTAATCACAGATTTTAAACTTGGGAAGCCTGTTAAACCACCCATCAAGGTAGAACACTCAATCCAGTTGCTTAGCAATTCATCTTAACACTTCATCCAAATAGATCACACAGTACAAATACATCCCAGAAACAAATTGCTCATCATAAGTCTTCTCTTCCAGCAATTACGAACTGGAATCTAGAGGCCCACTAAGACTGAAGTTATTCAAGTAGTATCTTGCCAAATGTGGGGTTGTTTCCCCCAGATAAAACTCTTCTTCAAAACATATGGAATTTAGGAAAAAGAATCTCACTACAGATTACCCTAAAAGAGAAAAAAATCCTACTCACCAGACAAGTGAATACACAGATACTAGAAAGACAGCACTGCTGTATTCTATTACTTCTAATTTTTATTTCTAGCTAGACTTGCTTTATTTTGAGGTTTGAAACACTCGCATACATGAAACAGAAACAAAAGCAGAAAATCCACCAACATATTGTAAAAACTAAGTTGTTATTGAGATGACAAAAAAAAGCTTGTGAAGACTTAGCAAGACTTGTCAGGAGCAATCAACAAATAAAGGCTTTACTTAGAAGCATTAAAGGCTGAATCGTCAAATATCTGGAACTTCAGAGCCCAGTAAAGAAATCCCAATTAAATAGTATTATCAGAAGAGATCATGTCTGTAGTCTGTGCTATTTTTAAACCTTCAAAAATTTTACTTTTATCTCAATGGTGTTATGTTGCTTTTTGCATGGTGGAAGGAAATAACAGAATCTTGAAAGCAGTTGCAAAGCTTCCTAACCAAATCAGCCATACATCTCACTTTTGGAAGTCACTCTGTCTAATACAGTTAAGCCTCAGGAACGCTTTCAGAAGAATCTGAGTGGACAGTAGAATGCAATACCTATCTAAGGGGCAGAACTACCCACAGATCAGGTTTCATTCATACAAAGCAAGCCAGCCAAGTTAATCATCCTAAGAAAAAGCAGGCTTGCATGTTTTCATAATCTTTAAATCTGTAGAAGACCTAGAAAGAACTTTCTGGTCACAAAGCTACAGCACTTACTATCATTAAGCAACTAAATAAGCCACCTTACTCAAAGGAAAGATTCTGATGCAAAATGCAGGAAGAATGGGATTCTCTTCTTTCTTGATACAAAGGTGCAAGAAATCACCAACTTACCCCAAAGGACAGGTCAACAACCTTGTATGTATGACCTGTATATGGTAACTTCATTGTCTTCAAGGTCATGCTGTTCATCAGTCCTTCACTACGTGAAGAGCTATACAGTGACATTTAAAATGTACCAGTGGAAGGGAAAAGACTAAGAGATTAACTCATTCCAACTCTTAACTATAATTCTAAGCACATTCATGTTTCATATTTTGTTTTACTTAAAAAGAACAGTACTTTACAAAAAAATGATTCCTCAAGTACAGATGACAGGGGAGGCCTTGCTGCCCGTTTAAGTACCGTAATTAGGTTAGGATTTCCAGGCAATTTAGATAGTGTAGTAAGACAACTTCTTTATTTCTTCCCTCCTTGGTTGATGGACCAGAACTATTCCGAAAAAATGGTCCTAGGAAATGTATTCAGCCTCTGTACTATTTCAACTTTGAAAACAAAAAGACAGGAAAAACCTATTTTACCAGTCTAAGGAATATCCATATTGAAGTATTTCCAGATACAGTTATACAAAACATAAAAATAAATACTTGGCAAGGGAACTACCTATTCAATATTTGTGTTTAGACATGACTGCTAAGAAAAATCTTGTAAATTTCTATTATGAAATAAAGTCTTCATCTTTTCACACAATTATTAATCTTTTGTATTATGGTTATCTTGATCAGGAAACAAACTAATTAGTGGCAGTTCAAGAAGTTAACTGTTCCTTATTAGGAGATTCTATCATCACTTAAAATGTCACCTGAATCTTCACAAAGACTCTCAGAAACACAGCACCTTCTTTCCCAATCATTCCATAATATCTGCCAGAAGATTGCACAGACAGACCGTTGCCTGGATGAATGTCACAGTACGTGAAAACAACTAAAGAAGGATCTTAGAGAAAGATTCTGTCTTCATCAATTTGTTGGAATAATCTCTCATACTGAGTTTGCAAAGAATATATAGAAAAGATTAATTTATAAAATAAACAGACCAGATTTGAGTCTCTCACTTAGAACAGGAAGAGAAATACAATTTTTTTCTGATGATTCTTCTTGAAATATTAAACCTTAATTAATTAAGAGGAAGAGATAAGAAGCAAGACTGGTGTGGTTTTCAAAAGAAAATACCACAAAGGAAGTTGAGTATCTAAACAGAAATACTTAAAACAATTATCTTAATTTTCATTTCCCAACAAGGTAAGGAGGAGCAGAAAGAACTGTTTTGTTTTCTCCTGCATTGTCTGAAAGACACTGCACAAGAGAAAGAAAACCTCACCTACTGTACTACAAAAAGAGAGAATGGATGAGTCGCTGGAGTCACAGTCCAACATAGAAGGGTTTTGTCAAAGCAGCATTAACAATCTAATTTATTTTTTTGTGGAACAGATACTGAAATCTGAACAGGAAAGATGGAAAACAGACTTAGTATAACTGAAGCAGAAAAATGCTGAATGTTCAAGTTTATGTTGATTTTAAGTTTTTTTGTCGGCTTTTAGGTTACTTTCCCTATCACACAATCTGTTGGGGCATTAGTGAGAATTTATCTGAATTTGTAATGCATACAAATAGCACATACTTAATCATAAACATACACATACAAATCACAAACACAAGTATTGTACTATTTCTTTTCCTGAAGTAAAACTTTTCGAACTCAATCATATCATAAAATGTTTGTTCCATTTCTGTGATGTACTACGGATCTTACTGTCTTTCCGACAAATTTGCAACATCGAAACCTCAAATTTCATTAAAAATAGTACTGCTGTCTGTTTCACTCTAAAATGAAGACCTTCCATGTTACATAAAAGCTAAAAAACACAATGCAAACAAACAACAACAACAAAACCCCAAACCAAACAAAAATAAACTCCCAAGCTTCACTTTTGGTTCCCCCCTGCCCAACAATGCCACTTTGTGCCCTGATCTTGGTCTCATGACACAATATTGCAAATCAAGCAATAATCTTAATTTCACTGTAAATCTTTAATATATTATTGTTCTCATGTCAATTATATTAAACTCAAAGTAGTTATTAATAAAGACTTTAAAAAAAAATTAATACCTCAGTCTGACCTTCATGGGCACTGGATTCATGAGTGACACGAATAGCCTAAAATTAAAACATATTTCCATCAGACTTTAAATGGGAGACTTCCAGTGTTTCAAGACCTAGTTATGCTCTTTGCTATATCAAATGCCATAGATGTAACTACTTTGTTCAGTGCTTTTAATAAATAAAAAAGATAATAAACAAATAATCTCCACATCCAAAGATCTTGGAAGACCAATATTTCAGTTTCATTAAAATCAATTCAGATCAAATATCTGACAGTTTGTAACGGAACTTTTACACAAAGAAAACACTACAAGCAAGCATTTTTGTTTTCCATCACTTCCTGAGCAGACAAAATAATTTAGATAGAAGCTCTGATCAGATATTTTGTATATTTCTATACAAAATGTCATCAAACCTCCGCTCTTTCTGTTTGTTATTACTTCGTTCAACTACATGTTAACACTCATATTCCTGGGGGCTTCACAATAAGCTTAAACCTAACTCAGATTCAGGAATCATCCAGGTTTTAATTTTTAAAGAGAATCATCAATACCTTTAGGAGCAACCATGCTGTTCTCCTTTCACCACTGGCCAGATGTTTCTGTTACATCCTTTCAAACAGCACTAAATGAGGCCAACCACTTTACCAGCTAGCTCATCTCATTGTACAGGGTTGTGGGGGCAGGAGATTATATTTCAGCCAAATCAGCTCTTTTGTGTGCCTCAACTGCTAAAGTCACAGAGATATGACCAGAAGGCACAAATGAAAAAAGGAAGCAGAATGACCATCCTTTCAGCAATAGCACCAGATCAGCTTAAGCTGACCATTAAACTGCATCCTGAACCCACAAAAAAAGAAGATTATTCATGCATTTCAAAGTAATTTTAAACTAAGCCAGTGAATTAATATGGATGAGTAACATTGACAAAAACCTGACTGAGCTATGGGCAGGCAGGAATACTCTAAAATACCAAAAGAGAGTTTTCTTTGTAGCAACTGTCTGATCACAAGCTCATTGTAAAACCAAATTGTTTAGGTGCTTTACTGAATCAAGTCGTCTGGACAGTACCTGCTCATGCAAGTAATTCTTATACCATTTTAAATAAAAGTAGAAACACATACTAACTTCATAAGTTTCTAGATATTTGGCCCTCTCTTCAGGAGTCATAGATAATGAATCTTCTAGGAACTTCTTCAGTGAGGAATTAGTTTCTTAAAAAAAAAAAAAAAATTGTCATGTTATAATTCCAACTTCATTCAAAGCTTACAGAATCCAACAAAAGATTTAAAGACAGAAGTACATTGTATCTTAAAGGCACTGAAGGCTGACTGCAAGAGGAACTGCTACCTGCTGCAGTTTGCAATGTTTCAAGTGCTTTAGTTGTGAATTAGTATAAAATACTGGTTTTGTAATTATATGTAGAAATGCACTTTGAACAGAGTTCATCATTTATGAATGGTTATAGTCAGAGAAAACAGTACAAAATGTATCCTTCCCTTACAAAATGTGTTGCCTTCCTTTAAGGAAAAAAGGGAAAAGCCAACAAAAAACCCAAGCAAAAAAACTTACCAAAGTTCATTTTATCTCTGTTGTTTGCAATAGCATGAATTAGCCCAATTGTTCCACAAGCATTGTTAATGGTCTGCTTCATGAAATACACTGACGATTTCACGTCTTGTCCCTTAGCTTTTATTCTCTCTTCTTCTTCTGTTCTGAAGGTTTCATACTAGAAAGAAAGTTAAAGACATTTCACAAATAGTACAAATAGCTACATTATCAAGCAAAAATAATTTATAAAAAGCAACACCTAACTAATATTGTACTTTGAAATACTTAATGTGTGTGGTCCAACAGGTATACATAAACTTAATCACCTGAACAGCTCTATATTGTTCACTAAACCAATGCCTCGACACTAATCGAAATACTGTCACATCTGAATCATGTGTAATCTATCATAACTTCAAAAATATTTAAATTATTTCCTTGATCTCAGCACCTGTCATCATCTCTCTTAAATTCAACAAAAGGCTTTTTAAGGACACAGGGTTCAAAGTGCTTTCAAGAAAACCGTGATACTTCAGATGATTAATCATCATGAAGAATTCTTAAACGTTCCATCGTTACATTTCATTTCTCCCAGGAATATAAAATAAGATTTATATAAACCCAGGGCCTCAAAACAGGCCCTTCAAAAGCCATATTCATAAAATAAATATTTTCTGTAGTAAATATGAATTTAGTGTCTCTGAACAATTTTGTTCAATACTTGTTTTATAACTTATAAAGTTATACAAGAATAACTGTGACTTCTTCATAGTCTAAGTAATAGCAAGAGAATGACAAAGCATTTTAATTTGGCACCACTTATCTACAAGTTAACAAAAAATAAGCTTAATTGAGACAAAAATTTCATACAGTTTAACTGGACAAAAAGTTCAGAGTAGAGAAGGTAAACAGTATAGCTGCCATTCATTCCCTGCCAATCAAAATAAACTCCATGGCAAAAAATAAATACATAAATGCTGAGAATACCAAAAATATAATTCTGAGCAAGGCATAGACCAGATCACCTCCTAACCTGAGCTATCCCATGATTTAAATTCGTTAGACCATGTCCAAAATGGCCAACACTCACAGTATTCACTTTGTCTACAAGCCACAATGCAGACTAAGAAAGCCATTGACCTTTAAACTGGACAACAACCCTGAAATTATCTGTATGCCAACAAGAGCATCTTGCCCTAAAAGCAAGTTAAAGAAAACTGATATATAGGAAACATGAAATAATTGAACTTCAGACAGAAGAACAAACATGTTAGAAAAGTGTTTGCAAAGGCAGCAAAATTAACTACGAGGCACACTTTCATAAATGTGGGCACAACCAAGAAGCAGAAACAAATAATAAATTAAGTAAAAACCTAATATTACAGGCCCTTCTGAATGGAAGGCTGAGGAGCGGAAAATTACTCCAGAAATACAAAATAATGCTCAAGGGTCTTGTGTAGTTCACACAGAACAAAAGGTTCAGAACATTGGGACCTCACATGAAAAAGTCAGCCTTCACACACTCAGGTTAAACAGTTGATAGAAACACTTGTGCCCCTTATGTTTCAGAAGGATTAACATGCTGAATATTTGGCTGGTGGACAAATTTGATTGATTGATACAATAGAGCATATGTTTTTTTCCTCTGGTTTTGTTTGTCATATGTTTCTTCAGGATGAAACTGGATACACCCTCTGGAACAAGAGGAAGACTGTTCTTTCCACTGGATGATGCTCCCATAACATGGTCCAAGAAAAGGTGGTTTGCATAAGCAGGGAGGCAAAACAAAAGTGACAATCATGAAAGGAGCTCAGACCTGTAGCTTGAACAGCCAGACACAAACTACAGCACACAGAAAACAATGTCTCAAGGGTGACAGAAAGGACATTTCCTGAAGACAGGGGAATGAAGAGCTTGCTTAAGTTCAAAACTATCAAGGTGGCTGAAATAAAGCTTGAAACGGACTGTCTGCATAGCTGTTTTGGAGAAACTGAGAATGCAGAGGTTTACAGGGCCTAATTTGTAAAAAAATCGACCCATCACTCTTCTCTGTA